AATACCATCAATAATTGATGCATGATTTAATTCATCCTATATTTAATAAATATATATATACTTTTAACATATTTTAATAACTTACACTAATAATATAATCTTGTTCTTTCAATAATGTTTCAAATAAACCTGCATTAGCATCGAAACAAGATATATAAAGTATTGCATCTTCTCGTTGATGAAAACTTGCAATACGTTGTTCAACTAGAATAAATCTTTTATTTTAATTAAATAAAATAATTAAATTTACGTTGTTTATGTATTGTTTGTGTACCACATATAAATCGTACAGAACTAAGACCAGCACCATACTTGTCAAGTGCATTTTTTGCTGCTTGAATTATTTGAGAATTATTTGCTAAACCCAAATAATTATTAGCACAAAAATTTAATAACTCATTTGGAGAATTTTCTATTTTAATATGTGAACTTTGACTTGTAGATAGAATTCGTTCATTTTTCCAAGTACCAGCTTGATGAATAGAATTTAATTCAGGTTTTAAACGTTTATTTATTACGTCAGTTAAAGTTGAAACACGTCGAATAGATGTATACCGTACTGACATAGATATCATTCTTTTACTTTATGCGCTGATTATTTGACGAATAGTGACTCAGTATATTTATTTAAATGATAGTATATTTATTTCGAATGAGAAAAGAAAAAAAATCATATATTATAGAATAGATATTCATATGAATGTTTATTCAATTACATAAATCATGTGAACAAAATGAAAAGCAATCGAATGTGCCCATACGTTTCACACATCCATGATCATCATAATTAATCATTTTTTTCATTAAATCATATTCAGGTGACATGATTGGCATGCAATCACGTTCAACAGTTATTTTACCTCCTATACAAACAAAGAAAAGACCTAATTACAATAATAAAAAGAAATTTTTTTTACCAACACGATGAAACCATGAATAACAAATATCATTATCATTTTCACATTGACGTATATCATCATCCCGTGGTAATGAACAAAACGGATCATTTATATTACATGATTTACATGTAAGTGCATTACCTTGACAAATATAATTTTAAATACCAACAATGTATGAAATTTATACTTACATATTGATAATATATAGCAAAGAAAAAGAAAATGAAAAATAAGACTTTTCATTTATTGAGATTGAAATGTGTTAGTTAGAAACAAGAAATATTGATAATGAATAAAATATTGTTGATATTGAGTGCTAGAGAAGAAAAAAATCTTCTTTATGAGATTCTGTCAAAAACAGAAAAAGAAAAAATAATTATGGGAATGTATATATAGATATTATGTAGAAGAATTGAAAAATACTAGCTTAGCAGATGACATTACATGGCAAAGAAAAGAAAAAAATAATGTGTGCCAAGAATTTTAGTCTAATTAAATTATTTTTTCTTGTCCAGGTCATTGGTTAATGATTGTTTAATATTCATGCCACCATACTCTAATAAGAGGAAAAAAAATTACTTTCAACGACAAATACTAATCGTAGCTAGCTGTTGTCGTTTTGTAATAACACATATAAATAGCAAGTCAATATTAGATGAATTTGTTACATTTAGTAACATCGAATATATCAATAAACTATTTCTGGGAAAGTTATTTCATAAAAAACCATTGATTGATACATTTTCATCGAAGTTGAATTTTATGATCTTATCTCAATCTTAGAAAATTCTTAAATAAATGTTTCGATTGGTTGAATAATTCTATCTCAGAGAAAAAATTTGAAATGTAGTTATTCAATTTCTTTGTTTTTATATTGATGAATCCTTCCAGTAAAATCGATCATCAGTTGGTAAACACGTTAGTTTGTACAATGTATGCCGAAGCATAGAAGCTTTTAATAATAAAAATTTGTACAGCACAAATAAAGATTATCAATTGGTCTTATGTTAAAAGAAACAAATTTATAATTCTCGTACGAATTTTATTGATTTATTTACATTATCTAAATCTGAAGAATTGTTAGATATTTAATCAGTTTTATCATTATGAAGTTGAATTAATTGAATCTATTAAGCATATTATAAAAATATGAATATTCATCACATTTTCAAGCTTTTAATATTATATAAACTAAATTATACAATATCTCATTTCATTATAATTTAGGTTCAGTTCTTTCATAGTATAGTAAAATGTTCGATGACGATAATGATTATATTGCAGTATTAGACGTGAAAACAGCTTTTAAAGCATTTTATTCACTATTTTTGAAATTTATTTTACTGTCCCTAAATAATATTCCCGTAAAAAAGTGCTGAATATTGTGCAATCATTATATCAAAGCATATCGGTTCAGCCTTAATTTTTAGATCGAATACATGACAATAATCAAAAAAATCTCAGTAAGGACATTGTCAATTGTTTTTTATTCATTTATTCCTTTTCAATATACATTCTTATGAATGAAATAATCTTTCAATATCTTCGAGAATAAATCACACAAATACTTTTGTGAGGATGTGGGTGGATTGAGAATGACTTCACACTCACACCCTCAAAATAACATTAAGATAAGGATATATGGCGTGAGAAAATTTAGAAGCGAAGCATAATTTTGCGTTATTACTCTCACATGTAAAATTTATCATATACAGATAAGAATATCGCATTACCTATAGCGTTGAAGGTAAAATAGTGTCTTATCTTTTGTAACTTCTCTATGAGTAACGGACAAATATTAAATAGTATATAACAAAAGGTAACTCTGTTTCGAGTTTAAATTTTTTGTAAAATATAATATGCACAATAATCCGAGCTTTAGTGAGTATGCAACTAAGGATATTGAAAAACAAAAATGGTGGCAACACCGTCGAGCTAAGATTATCATCATCTTGTTGATCGCTTTAGCGATTGTTGTAGTTACCCTCTCTCTGTTGTTAAAATTTGTTATTCTTGCTCCAACAAAGCAAGAAACGACCACTGTAACACCTTCATTACCAACGGCAACAAGCACACTGACAGCAACTACATCGACAATACCACAAACAACAACTACATCGCCAATACCACAAACAACAACTCAGCAGCCAGGTACGTGTTAAAGTAATGCTTCTTAAATAAGGTGTATATAGTTGCTTTTCACGAAACCATTCTTATCATCTAACTAAAGATCAGATTAAAAAGATCAATGAATGTGATGTGAGTGAAGTTCATATCCGATTCGAGTGATTCTACCATCGATTTATCCAAAGTTCTGTTCCAAATGTTTCACTCTTGTTTGAAATTATTCGGATTGAGTTTTAACTTTACTCACGTACGATTGAGGGATGGACCATATCTCTTAAAAGAGAGAAACTGTTCCAATTCAACGAGAAATCCTTTACCCACATAAAGTCAAGGGGATATTCTAGCAGATTTGGTTTTTTATCAGCAGAAATGAATAAATTATAATAGAAAATGGTTTATTCATATCTCCACTCATAAGGAGAAATGAAAGAAAGAAAATAGAGATATGGATGATTCTATTTTTCATTATAAGGAGATGTTTGTGTTATCGTTAGTTGTATAAGAAGATAGTAGTTTTGGAAGCGGAATAATAGTTTTGTATCGGGATAAAATGCAAATATTCAGTGGACAGGGAATGGTTACTTTGATTATTCTCATTGCTTGTAATAGAACATATTCTACGAATATTACTTAAGTGATATGATTTAGTTCATCACTTGAAAATAGTTGAAAGAATAGAAGAAGAACGCATGAAGATAACGAAAGGAAAATTACCATACGAACATTGATGTAAAAGTAAAGGAGAAAATCCCGTACGATTATATACAAAGGGATAAAGAAAAATAGCATATAGATAGTATATGTGAGGGAAAGTAAAAAAATACTATATAATCATATACATGAAAGAATGGGGAACAAATAATTTATATGTTCGCTCACGGAAGATATTCAAGGCGATCTGGTTTTTTACCAGTAGAAATGGATGAATAATAATATGAAATGGTTTATCCATATCTCCACTCATAAGGAAAAATGGAACTTGAAAAAAGGATTTTTCTCGAAATGAAAATATGGATATCCTATTGATTTAGATATTGAATTCGTATATATTCAGGTTTGTTTGATGTCTGTTTAAAATAAAAAGGATTTCTCTTTGCGGTGTATAAAGGTAGAGTATCGAATAATTCATTGAATATATGTCGGTTTCGTGTTTTCCATTTTTCCTTAACGTGTTGCTTTTGTTGGGGTAAACTATTTCTTCTTAAAGTGGAACAGTTTCTCGATCGACGTCTTCAATGGTCCACTGCTGCTACACCCACACCCCCAAGATGGTTCAGTTCGAGATTTCTCAGTTTGGTCTACAAAAAAAACGAATTAATCCTGCTTCTGATAAACATCTAAAACTTTTTATGAGAGTAATCTCTAGTTTAATTCTTTTTTGCGTGATTGCAAATGTAAAATCCGATTTTGTTATTCTTTTTTCCGACAGCGCAATTTCTGTCAAACATTTTATTTATATCGAGTTTAAGACGTCACAGATGTCAATATTCAACAAAGTCTACATGTTTATTTAACTTCAGGTATGAGCGAGTTTATCAAGTTGATTATATAAGAAAACAAGTAAAGCATTATTCCGACTTCTAAAATTCGTCGCTTGTGTCATTTCATAATAGAATCTTATGATCAATCGATTTCAGCAACAAAACATAGTATCATTTTGACATTTATCTATCTTTAGAAGTTATTTGTCAAACACCGTTTGGTCCAAGTAACAGATTATTCACTGGTGGTAGTCCACTATTTGTATCCACGGGAGATTTCAACAATAATGGCAACCCGGATCTAGTAGTGTTTAATGCGCATGAAACCAGTATCAGCATATTTCTCAACAATGGAAATGGAGAGTTTCAAAGTCAAATGACATATGCAGTTGGCGAAGGTTTATCCGCTGTTACAGAAGGGGATTTCAACAATGATAGTAAATCTGATCTAGTAGTAGCCAATTTTAATGACGATACTATCAGCGTGCTTTTGGGGAACGGTGACGGAAGTTTTCGAGATCAAATGACTTATACAGTTGGCACTTCACCCGCATCTATTGCTGTAGGCGATTTCAATAATGATAATAAGCTAGATTTAGTAGTAACCCACTATGATGATAGCAGCATAAGCTTGCTACTCGGAATCGGCAATGGGAGTTTTGAAAATCAGATTACTTATAATGTTGATTTCCGTTCGATGTCTATTGTTGTTGGTGACTTTAATAATGATGGTAAATTAGATCTAGTAATGGACAATTCTGAAGACGATAGCATCACCGTAATACTTGGAAACGGTAATGCGACGTTTCAAAATGAAACTAGATATATAGTTGGCTCCCAACCATCAACTGTCTCAGCTGCTGACTTCAACAATGATAGTATTTTGGATTTAGCAGTAGTTAACCAACTGGACAATACTATTAGCGTGCTACTTGGTAACGGGGATGGAAATTTTCGAAATCAAACAATATATTCCACTGGTAATACTCCAACATATATCTCAGTAGGTGATTACAATAATGATAGAAAGTCGGATTTAATGGTGGCCAACGGTGGTGATCGCAGTATCAGTATATTTCTGGGCAATGGGAATGGAGAATTTGAAAGTCCAATTACGTATATACTTGGCTTCATTCCGTTTTCAGTTACAACAGCTGATTTCAATAAAGACTGTAAATTGGATCTAGCTGTAGCCGATATGGATAATAACGTCATTAATCTGCTTTTCGGAAACGCAGATGGAACCTTTTCAAATCAAATAAAATATACAGTTGGCTCTGCGCCCCTCTTTATAGTCATAGGTAATTTCAACAATCATACTAAATTGGACCTAGCAGTAACGAATGCACAGGATAACACCATCAGCGTGCTACTCACCGACGGACATGGGTCGTATCAAAGTCAAACAACATATGCGACTGGTCACCTTCCAACAACTCTCGCAGTCGGTGATTTCAATGATGATAGTAAATCGGATATAGTGGTAGTCAACGGTGGTGATAATAGCATTAGCATATTTCTTAACTATAGCAATGGAATATTTCAAAATCAAGTTACGTATACAGTTGGTACTAGCCCATTCTCTGTCACAACAGGCCATTTCAATAATGATAATAAACTAGATCTAGTAGTGAGTAACACTGATGACAATACCATAGGTGTGCTGCTTGCTAATCAAGATGGAAGTTTTCAGAATCAAATTACATCAACAGTCGGTTCTCATCCTTATGGTATTACAGCATCTGATTTCAATAACGATAGTAAACTAGATCTGGCAGTATGCAACACCAATGACAACACCATAAGCGTGCTGCTGGGTAATCAAAATGGAAGTTTCCAGAATCAAATTACGTATATAGTTGGCCTCAGACCAATTACAATCGCATCTGCTGATTTTAATAATGATAAAAAACTAGATCTAGTAGTAGTTAACTCTGATGACAAAACCATAAGCGTGCTACTCAACGAAGGAGATGGAAATTTCCAGAATCAAACTACGTATGCAGTTGGTTCTCATCCATACGGTGTTTCAGCAGTTGATTTTAACAATGATGGTAAGCTGGATTTAGCAGTAGTGAACGAACTAGACAACAGTATCAGCGTGCTGCTTGGAGACGGAAAAGGAGCGTTTCAGAATCAAACTACGTATATAGTTGGCTCTCGTCCGACCAATCTTGTAGCAGGTGATTTCGACAACGATACGAAACTAGATTTAGCAGTGACGCTCAGCGGAGAGAACAGCGTCACCATTATTCGAAACCGATGTCCGTAATATATTTCCTACCTTATAATCTGTTGAGCTCCAACGACATACAAAATACGTCTCAATGCAACAGAAAACTAACTTAAGAATTAAAAAAATTAATTGTTTTTTTTGTAAAAAAACTTTTTTTTATAGAAAAAATCTAAAAAAACTAACTTCATATTTGAATTACTCACTCTCGATCACGTTTCGTCGAGCTTTATGGAAAATAAAATCAGTGAATTGCGGACACACAAACAAGCAGAGAATTTATGCGTGTAAGACTCTTCTCTACTAGAAAGAGAATATATACATCGTGATCATATAACACGACCATTAATAACAGAAATCAAATTTTTAGTTCTACTGTTTTGATAATAATGCACGAATTTGTATATAATTTTGATATTTTAAATGAAAAAGAAAATTTAGTTGTTTTTAAATTAGTTTATTTTTCTTATAAATTAGAAAAAAGTCGAACTAAAAACTTGATTTCTGACGTTTATGATCGTGTTATATTTTTATGTTTGTTATATGTTTATGTTTGTTATATGTTTATGTTGATGATCGAAAAGGTTACAAATTTTTATCTGACATAGAAAATAAATTATTTAATATAAAACTAAATAAAATTAAGCTTTTCATTAGATTTCTTCTCGCATTTTTATAATCGATTATTCAACTAAAACACGATCAATAATAGAAAAATATTTCAACTGTCAATGAATATAGATGAGAAAATTTTATCATTAGCGTTCTTATTTCTAATTAAAAATCAAAGAATAACAGTTGAAATAACGATCGGATTGGTTATATTGAGAAATTTTTTCGAAAGAAATCTTTAATTATATAGAATATTGACAAAACATCAAATCATTTCATTTTTTCGAATCAAATATTTTTGATTTATTTAAAAAAATTGAAATGAATAAGTATGCATTTCAATTTCATTCTTTATCGAATTCTCTTTTTTATTTATAAGAAATGTGCAGAATCTTTACCAGTTTCATTTTCTAATAAGAACTAAATAAATATTTCAAAAAAGGAAACTCATTTTTATTTCCATTCTTGCGAATATTGATTACACTAAGTAATCGACTTTATTTCTTTTACAAAATCAATTAAAACAATTTTCTTTTCTTTGCAAAGAAGTTTTGATCAATTCGATAATCGTCATCGATATAATAAATAACAATTCTTTTATTGAAAAATCGTTTTCAACGAAGAGATTCATTTTGTTAATTTTGAGTGAAAATGTTCAATAGAGTGTTGAAAAGAAAATATTTTTCTTTGAATTGATTTCGACATTTTCCCAACAAAAAAGTCAACAAAATCTTTTTTCTTCTAAAAAGAAAAACAAATTTTTATTGATGAAAAAACTGTTCAAATTGAAATTATCTGAGAAAGATTTTCTTCAGAAATTTCTCAAACGCTTTTGTCAAACGAAGAAAAAAAGAAAAGAAATTTCTTTAAAAATAATAGTGAAAATGTGTTTAAAATCGTTCGTTTTTCAATTTTGATTGTCGAAGAAATAGGGTGGGTATGGTGTGAGGATGGACGTGAGTGTAGATAAAAAGAGAATACTCAACAGCATCTCTATTTATATCCATTCTTCTTCAATGAAAGATTCATTCTGTTGTACTAATAATGATCCTTTTTTAACAACCATCATTCAATATAGCTTTAATATATTATTGCGACTCATATATTATTCGGTGGATGATAATTTATTAAGCAATGTGAATGATTAAATAGTTGGATTATATATAAAAAAAATTATGGTTAAATTCAAAAAAGAAAATGTCATTCTGTCTATACTGATTAATATAGCTCAGCGCTATTGAGACCAACATTGCTACATCCACCAGTAACTAATACTTGTGCATTTGCTAATATGGATGCTATGTGACCATATCGTCCGACATTCATGTTTGCTGTAGTTGTCCAATTACCTGTTGAGAGATTGTACAATTCAGCACTATTAAGAGAATTATAGTTGTTGTCCTGTCCACCAGTAACTAATACTGATCCATTTACTAATCTGGATGCTGTGTGACTTTGTCGTACAATACTCATGCTTCCTGTGGTTGTCCAAGTGCCTGTTGATGGGTTGTATAATTCAGCACTATTAAAAGTAGCACCAACGCTGAAGTCTCCACCACCAGTAACTAATACTTTTCCATTTGCTAATGTGGATGCTGTGTGACCACTTCGCCCGATATTCATGCTTCCTGTGATTGTCCAAGTGTCTGTTGATAGATTGTACAATTCAGCATTAATAACCGAATTACTGCCGTCGTTTCCACCAGTAACTAATACTGATCCATTTGCTAATGTGGACGATGTGTGTCCTTCTCGTGCGACATTCATGCTTCCTGTAATTGTCCAAGCGCCTGTTGATGGATTGTACAATTCAGCACTATTAAGAGAATTAGGGCTGCCGTCGGATCCACTAGCAACTAATACTTTTCCATTTGCTAATGTCGATGCTGTGTGATAACTTCGCCCGTCATTCATGCTTCCTGTAATAGTCCAAGTGCCTGTTAATGGATTGTACAATTCAGCACTATTAAGACAGCCACTACCGTCATTTCCACCAGTAACTAATACGGATCCATTTGCTAATGTGGATGCTGTGTGTCCTTCTCGTGCGAAATTCATACTTCCTGTGATTGTCCAAGTGCCTGTTGATGGATTGTACAATTCAGCACTATTAAGATAATCACCGTTGTTGTCCATTCCACCAGCAACTAATACTGATCCATTTGTTAATGTGGATGCTGTGTGATATTGTCGTTCAACACTCATGCTTCCTGTGATTGTCCATTGTGTCCATTCTAAATAAGGCAAAAAAATGAGAAAAAAATGTTGTTCTTAAAGTAACTTCGAATCTTTCATGTGCATAAGCTGTCTATCTATTGATGACAAATTAAATGATATCAAGCCTCCAATAAACTTCTCTTTGTTTTTATGATTATGATAAGATCTCTTATGACATGTCAGAGCAAATTCGTGAAAAATATTTTATAAACAACTTCGTTTCTGTTCTTTGAAATGAATGTTAATGAAGATGTGAGTGTGTGTAAGAGAATATAGTTTTCGCATTATTCTCATGAGAAAATCAGTACACTAAGGATTAATTGATGATGATGATGACTGGTATTTTTATCAGTGTCATTTTCGACTAATACTGTTGGGCAGGGCAAGAATATTCAGTACTTAAATGAATGTAGATCAAATGAAATCATCAAACGCTGGCACTATTTAGACTTCCTATAGGTAACGTTCTCTATTTAGATGAGGATTATTCAATAATTAAAATCAAAACTTTTAAATATCGTCACTTCTATTAATCATTATTTGAGTCATTACAAATAATTTATCATAGTACTCACTCGGTATCACTGTTGTTGTCGCTGTTGTGGATATTGTTGTTGTTTTTGAAGTTGTTGTTGTGGTGGATGTTGTTGTTGTTTTTGTAGTTGTTGTCGTGGTAGATGTTGATGTTGTTTTTGAAGTGGTCGTTGTTGTGGATGTTGTTGATGT